TTTCTTGTTCATCAATCTTGGCAATGAGGCTAGCCCATCAGTTCTGGACCGGTAGGCCTGAACTGCAGAAGCATCATTAACAGTTAGGAAAGCATCTTTTTCAGGTCAGCTTCTAATGCCTAAAAACTCCCTCACACATTTCATTGCCAAGTTGTCTCCCCTCTCTAAGCTAATTCCATCATGACTTCACCCGAGAAAGCTGCCACAGAAATCAATTAGAGACTGGGATGAACTCAACCTTAGAACAGTAGCCTTGACTCACTTCCTGAGTTTCCAAACATAATCAGCTCTTATCTGGGATAGCTGAGACGAGGGAAAGTTTTCCAACGTCTGTTATTATTATTATTTTTTTTAAAAAAAAGACCTTTTTTGGCTTCTTTTTCCATAGGGTGCTCAAATTCCACGAGATCAGATCTTGCCTAACTCTGCTTTTTTTAGCTGATTAAAAGCCCTCCGGAGTTGGTTACATAATGGGTGACCATATAAATGTTTTAAATCAATCAAACGCAAGCAAAAGGGTGGATTTAGTGTGGTTATAGAAAGGGGTCAAGAAAAGGGACTTGTGGGTTTTGTGATGGATCCCGTTCTCTTTGTCCCGCAGTAACCTGAGGGCTACTTTTGAATAAGAGCACCACATACATTGCTCCTAGTTGAACTTATTGTTAACAGACAAGCATTCAGCTAACTTTTCCAATCATTAGTTTCATCATTCAGCTTTCTCAGCTGCCCAGAATCTTCTGGAATGGGCAGCCATCCTACATTTAATTTATTTATTATTAAGTTTGCCTAGCTATCTGAGTGGCTGAAATTTATTGAAGTTACCAAATATTGCAAGGCTTCGGCAATTTGACCCTATGACAGCTCATAAGGGCTTGCATGAAACTCAGTTTGAAGGTGCTATACATGAAAGTGATCAATAATAAATACATGGGAAATGATGCTGTCATTTTAATTGTTTTTAAACAATTATTTATACGTGAGGGTCTGTAGATACCATTTAGAGGCAATATATTCCTGATCATTGGACTAGTAGATCTGGGTGTAAGAATGGAGTGGTAACTTAAGGAGGGGTGTGTGTGTGTGTGTGTAGAGAGAGAGAGGGAGAGAGAGAGAGACTATTTGCTTTTTTTTTTCAAATAACATCAAATATTTCACACATAAAGTATTGGCAATTTCATTTAAGTACTGCTTCCCCAGACATATGTTTTAAGTGGTAGCCTTGAGGTATAATCCAGTGCATATAAATTTGAAAGTAATTCCATTGCAGCTTCAGTTGGCAAAGGACAGTTAATTGATTATAGGTGGTCATTATATTTTCTGCAGATTCATTTTGCATCATCTTCCATCAGCAAATTCTAGGAATTGCAGTTTAATGGGACATTAGCTACATACCGTGAAACAGGCCATGCTTTGGTTCACAATCTAATCTAGAAATGCCTCTTCATAAATAACTGTAGAGTATTTTTTTTTTCCCCTCTAGATGGTAGCGGTTTTTCTGTATGGTATCCATTCCACATGGGAACAAAGGTGTTTAGTGTTCTTTTTTTAAAAAAAAAAATATTTTATCGAATAGATTTTTTTCAGCAGAATTAAAAACAGGAGAAATTTTAAATGAAAGAAGAATAAATAAAATTTAAAAAGTGAAAAAGATATATAGAAAAAGAAATATAGCAAGAATGGAATGGAATGGTTTTCAATCTTGATAGCAGTTATAGTTACACTTATATTTTATCTCCTCTCTCTAAAATTATATCACAATGTCTTTCTTTCCTCCCATAAGCTACGCTCTCCAATCCTCAAATGTGTTCATTACAAATTCATGTTTATCTTCTTTTCTTTTCAGCCAAAAGTTCATAAAGATCCAGCCAGTAACAAATATAGTGATTGATCTTTCTCCAATTAAATAAGTTAATTTTGGCATTTGTTAGCATCACCAACCACTCCTCTAGTTATAGGCATTTCAGATTTTTTGCACATATAATAATACTTTTGCCCCAGTAACCATAGATAAAAATAATCTCCCAGCACTCTGGGAGTTTCTAATGAACTGTCGATTAAAAAGTGTGTAGGTGTGTGTAGGTATTTTCTAAGTACCTGAGAACGTGTCTCTGGATAATTTTGAAACTTTGCCTATGCTAAAACTGTACAAATGAGTAATATTATTTTGCTTCCCCTGCATTTCAATGGCTGGATAGAGGGTTTTTTTGATACTCAGCTCCAAAAAGAAAATAAAGTGTATGTAAGAAGTAGTTTCTGAGACCATAGGGATGGTGATCAGAAACTTAATTAGTTGGAAACAATCGTCCCTTCTCAGTTGAAAGAAGTTTTGTTCTCCAAAAAAAAAAACACGTTCTGGATGAATATATAAGGACACCATTAGCATCTTCTCACATATCCCAAGTCTCAAACTTTGGGTGAATTCCTAATTTGTAACTTGTTATAAGTCAGAGACTGCAAATTCAGTCTTTGTTAGAATGAGGATCCTAAGCTATAATGCGATAATATTTCACATACTTCTTTCAACATCTTGTTTCTTTTTTTCCCCCTGTCTTTATTCCTTTTCTTAGTCTGTCTTCACAATCTTTCACCTTTTAGAAACAATAGTTTTAAAAGGATAGAATTAGAGAACTATTTTTCAAATAGGCAAGACCATTCATTACTTGAAAACTATGATTGGTTTTTGGTAATCCGGAATGTGTTGCAACTGATTTGGGGAGATACTTCCAACATTAATGGAAGGTTTGTGGTTGAGGACAGATGGTGTCGGGTGCCAGAACTTGGGAACCAGGATTGTTCAAATGAGTGCAAGTTTATTTCATGTCATCTCTGGACAAGAAACTGAACTACTGACAGTCAAGGGAAATTGATGGTGGATAAGAGTCAATGGAATTCAAGGGGGCTGGATTTATAACTCTTGTGGGTGTAAAAGGATTCCAAACTAATGACCTACTTGACCCCTCCCTCTGGGCTCAGCCTGGTCATGTTCTATTTCTGGGCAGGGCAAATATTTGTAAGATTTTCTTGGTCTTTTCAAAATCATGTTTACTGCTGGTTTATAGCTATTAATTTTTGCATTGTCATTACCTTCCCCCATTATTGTTGCTTTTTTTAAAATCAAGACAAAGTTACGAATAGGAACACCACATGGATCAATAAGTTCCTTGTTAAATTAACTCAAGGTCAGCCATCTTCATTTAAAAGGATTAGGAATTAGCCATAAATAAACCTCTATCAGATGGAGTAGATTAGTTTTCTGGTTCTCTACCTATCTTAATTTGTTTTTAAAGAAAAACTTGTTAATTTTTTGTTTTAACAAATGGAAACACAGCACCACTCTGGTGCATAATTTATGGGGTTTATGGTTTTTATGCTATAGTTTTTAATGTTGTAAGTTGCCCAGGATCATCTGGGTGGGAGTTGGACAGCCATATATTTGATAAAGAAATAAATAATTTCTATTGGTGAGAATTCCTCTGGTCTCCACCAACCCCCTCTAAACATTCTTAGAAAACAGAAATGATAGAATTAGTATGCCAGTAGCTATAGGCATGTGTGCCAATCTGCCAGAAATGTAATTGGGATTGTATAGAGTATCTGGAGTGGTCCAGAAGACATAGAAGGAGCTGTTATAAAGCGATTCATTGTGATTTTATTCTATTATGATTGCTATTTGAGGAAAGTGCCTGTGACATGACCTCAACATTCGAAATACACCTGGTTACCCAGAAAGGGTTCTGTCTTGGCTTACATAGATATCCAGTCAAACCTGGTCTTCTGTAGCCTTGAAGTTGATCATAGTTCAAGTCAAGCAACAAATGGACAGCCATTTGTCTGAAATGGTATAGGTTTCCTACTTGAGCAGGAGGGTGGATTAGAAGATCTCCAAGATCCTTTCCACCTCTGCTATTCTGTTCCATTCCATTCTATCTTCTATCCTATCCTATCCTATCCTATCCTATCCTATCCTATCCTATCCCATCTTCTACTCTACTCTACTCTACTCTACTCTACTCTACTCTACTCTACTCTACTCTACTCTACTCTACTCCACTCCACTCCACTCCACTCCACTCCACTCCACTCCACTCCACTCCATTCCATTTGAATATGTAAACCTAAACAGGGGGTTCCATAGTGAAATTCAGGAACTGTCATTTCAATAAAGGAGAATATTGGTAGCTCAGGGTTGAAATGAGGGGTCCTTGGTGCTCTTTGAGCTTGGTGGTTTTTTTGCAGACATCACATTACCCAACTAGGGAACATCATCAGTGCTACTGTTGATTAGCACTGATGATGTTATTAGTTTGGGTATAGAAATGTCTGCAAGAAAACCAATTTCAGAGAGCACCAAGAGCTGTCATTTCAGTTTAGGTGTTCTGCTTTCCTGAGCTTAGTCTAGTAGTTAGAGCTTTGGGACATAAATATATCTTAACAAAACACAGTTCCTCAGTTTGCCAAAGGCAGCCACCAAGGTTTAAAACATAAAAGATTGGCTTAAAGTTGAGGTGGATTACATGTGCCCTGCCCTTCATGATGGCGCTCTCGTTAATTTGCAGGCAAAAACCTTGTGTCAATTAGCTGGGGGGGGGGGGAAGCAAAGAGAGTGCACTTTAATTAATATTTTAATCCCAACCTTAGCAGCCTTCCTGCCAAGTCAGCAAGGTTGCATGTTCTGTTTGCCATCCTTGCGATTCAGCCAGGCTGACAGTTGTCACCTACTTCCAGGGGAAAGAAAGAAAGAAAAAAAATCCCACTTGTAAAACGAGCACAAAAAATAAAATAAAATTAGCAACTGTCACCGTGTCACTGAAAAGTTTTAATCAGGGCTGTCATGTAGCAGTTTTTCTGCCGGCAAATACAAAAGGATCTTTCAGGCCATATCATTTGCTCAGACTTTGCCAGCATGGAGAATGTAAATTGAGGAGTCGGCTTGCTAGCCGAAGAGTCTGGGAGATGGAGAATCAACCTGGTTCCATGCTGGTTTCCTCATTCTCTTGCAGGTAAATCGCTTGGTGAGATGTGGCCTGTCCCCCACCCATCCCACGCAGCAGCCATGAAGCTTCGCCTCCTCACAGCTTACGCACTGCTGCTGGCAATCTGCCAATGCTGGGCTGTCAGCTTTCCAGAAGATGACGACCCTATTAACGTGGTTGACTACCATTGTAAGTGAGCAGCAAAGCCAAACGCGTTGTGAGATTGCCGATTTGTTTTCTTCCACCTTGCCCCGGATGACAGCAATTCTTCCTTTTGCCGAGCTGCCAAGTTTCAGGTGGACTTTAATGGACTCTATCTATCTACTGCCAGCCAAAAAGGCAGTGGGAAGTGCAAGTTTTATTTATATTTTTGAGTTCATTGGCTCTCGCTGACCATCTTTTATTCGTTGATATTCAAGACATTCCACAAAGAATTTAGTTTAAGCCCTTGTGCTCCCGGTATATACAGCTAATCAATGCTGCTTATTGATTCTTCAGTTCCATCATCCTGAGTGATGGCATAACTTATTTTTACTTGCAGATTCCAAGCAATATCCAGTGTTTAGAGGACGCCCTTCAGGCAACGAATCCCAACACAAGCTGGACTTTCAACTGATGTTGAAAATTCGAGACACACTTTATATAGCTGGCAGGTAATTTTCCTGCAGTCCACTGATTAAATTAAAATTCCCCACTCCTCCTCCCCCCCCTCCATCTGCTGCCTGGTTTTGCATTTCATCTATACACTTTGTCTTAAAATAATCCACTAGATAATTTCTGGAAAAGAAGGAGGGAATCAGCACATGGAGACAAGACAAGGGAGGGTGATTTATGGTATGGAAGAAAAGCTGTGATAGTGATCCATGCAATTCCAGATTTTGTTTTCCACCAAGAACTTAATTTGGACAGACAATTATGCGTACCAATCAATACAAGAGCTGGGGCAGCCTGAATCTCACAAAAAGATTGGCACCTAAAGACTAGATCATACATGTGCTAAACCATGGGTTACTTGTATGTTTTACGACACAAGCCATCATTAATTCAGTTTCTATAATATGCTAAGCCACAAAACAGGGCTTCTCCAGCTCTCTCAACCACAGCGGTTTTTTGCTTACTTCTGAGTTTGTGGCTCAAGCTCCAACAGGCTGAGATGCAACTTTGCTATCTGAGAGTTGTATTTTTAGAGAGCTGAGTTGGTATAAAGATAGCTTACAAAGATAGAGGGAAGCAAATGCAGATTAAAGTAATCTATCAAAAGGAAACTAGATCCTGTGTTCTGGGGGACAATGACCTCAAAGGCCAATAAGAGGCATCAACAGCTTAGGATGACTTTTGCCACCAGAGGCAGGAACAATCTTTGTTGTCTCCATGTGTCCCTCCTCAAAGCAAGACATTATAGGTACGGTTGCTCCCATCATAACGTAGATTGAACAGGCCAATTCCTCTTTACTCCTTCTTTATTTCTTCTGACCCTGCATATGATTGTTGATGGTTCTGCAATAGCAATAGCATTTAGACTTATATTCCACTTCACAATGCTTTACAGCTGTCTCTAAGCAGTTTAGAGTCAGCATATTGCCCCCAACAATCTGGGTCTTTACCGACCTCAGAAAGATGGAAGGCTGAGTCAACCTTGAGCCAGTGAGAATCGAACTGCTGGCAGCCGGCAGACAGCAGAAGTAACCTGCAGTACTGCATTCTAACCACTGTGCCACTATGGCTCTTAACCAGCGTATCAGCTCAACCAAAGTCTCCCTAATTTGGCTTGTTTCAAACTTTGATCTGGGGAAAATGAGCACTCCCAATTAAGAACAGATGTCTGCTTCTTTTAGTAATGGTATGGAGGGACTGTGTGAGGCCAAAAGGATCTTTATTCATTCATTTATTTATTTATTTATGAGACTTATATACCGCTTTAAGTGCAAGCACTCTCTAAACGGTATACACCAGTAAGCAATGTATATATATATATTTACATTGTCCCCAACAATCTGGGTCCTCATTTTACCTACCTTGGAAGGATGGAAGGCTGAGTCAACCTTGAGCCGGTGAGATTTGAACCGCTGCTGAACACAGTCAGCTAAAGTGGCCTGTAGTACTGCACTCTAACTGCTGCGCCACCTCGGCTCTTATCGTGATATTTAAAGTCAAAGCGTGGTTTCTAAAGCAGGCTGGGGAATGAGGTGTTCTATTTTTACTCTTTTAAAGGTATTTATTTGTTAGGTTTTTAATGCCAGAAGCCACCCAGAGTCATTTGCTATGACATGGGCAGTTAATAAATAAAAATCAATCAATCAATCAATAGGATTTCTGATATGTTTCTTTTTTTTTTTCTTCCAGGGACCAAGTTTATACGGTAAATTTGAATGACATTCCAAAAGGGGAAGTTGTTCCAAGCAAGGTTAGAACATGCTGTAAATTCCTTTTTGTGTTTCTTTTTTTTTTTTTTTTTTTTTAAAAACAAACATTCTTGGTTAAAGATGAAATAGTCTTATTCTTTCTTTTATCTGAACAGAAGTTAACATGGCGGTCAAAGCAACAGGACCGAGAGAATTGTGCTATGAAAGGAAAACACAAAGTAGGTTTGACTTTTAAGCAAAATACTTTAAACCACCCAAAAAGTTTAGGAGGTCATGATGGATGCTGTTTTAGAACTGCTAATTAACTAACTAACCTCTTCATTTCGGCAAAAATCTGAATTTGGGGGTAACCAGAATAGAGGGGCAAGTGGAACGCTGCACGGTCCTTTTCAGGCTGATTTTTGATGTGACGCACCGCAGCAAAATCGTAAAGTGCAAATTAATATTCTTAAGAAACGAGTTGCACTTGATCAGATTCATAGAAAGAGAGGTTTCATTTACACTGAAATTGTAAGTGCTGCCCCCCCCCATTGTTTTTCCCCTCCTTATTTCCAGCTCACTGAGCACATGTTCAAAAGTAATATTTGCTAGTGAATAGCGATGTGAGCCATTCTCTCTTCTTCTTCTTCTTCTTCTTTTAATTTAATTTTCTTTTTAGGATGAATGCCATAATTTTATTAAAGTCTTCGTCCCCAGGAACGATGAGATGGTGTTTGTCTGTGGAACGAATGCTTTTAATCCTATGTGCCGTTACTATCGGGTAAGGACCAACACCCAGACCAGTCAGATTGTTCTCTGCCAAAATTCAAAGGGCATCTTGGTGAACTTCAAAGAACCCTTATCAATGTTACCATTGTCCTTCTCATCTTAGTTTGTCTCTGGAGAGATCAGAGTGTAAGTGTCCGTCATTTTTTCCATGGCCAACTCCTTTATTCTCACAACAATCCTGCTGGTTAGATTACAGCAAAAGAAATGTGAACCAACTCACAACTCAACCATCTACTGAGCTCCGTAGCTGACAACTAGTTGGAGATGAGAAATTAAATCTCCCTAGTCCTTGTCCAGTTTTCTAACCACACTATAGTATAAAATCTGGATTTAACAGAGCATTCGGGGAAGCAGTTCTGCTAAATCCAAAACTTACCCCTCCACCAGACATTACAGTTATATATTGGATCTCTGACGATTTAAAGGACCTGGTTCTCAGTTCCCATCTTGTCCCAAGTTCCATCCATAAGTTGTCCTCACAGCTTGTGGATTCTTTAAATGAACATAAGAGCCAGCATCCAATGTAGTCCAAAGGTTTTCATTCTTAAGATGATTGAAAAAGTGATCACAATAAGACACGCATTTTAATACAGTCAGCCTTTCCCAGTACAGCTAATTCATTAATTTTGAACCTCAAGGAAACATCTATCGATCACGGATGCTACCCTTGTGGATGCAAAAATGGTTCCCCATGTAGTTCCTTTAGTAATACGTTTTCAGCGCTGTAGGAAGAGAGGCAATCAGATTTAGAAAAATCAATGAAGCTGCAGGCTAGCCTTTTCAGTTTGGTTCCCTTCAGATGTACTGGATTTTGGCCATGCTGATTGGAAGCTATGGAAGATGAAGTCTCACATATCTAGAAGGTACCACTCTGAAGAAGGTTGGTGTAGGAATACCTGATTTTGTTGACCAGTTGCATGGACCTGGGGAAGCTGAGATAGCCTAACCCCCCAAAATGTATATTTTGTCTTCAGCTGAATACCTTGGAGTATGATGGTGAAGAAATTAGCGGCTTGGCCAGGTGCCCATTTGACGCCAAGCAAACCAATGTTGCCCTCTTTGCTGGTGAGAACTTTTTTCTTATAATGGACTATATTGATAGATAATACAAGAAAGGGGAAATGAAAAGGCCTATGGCATCACTGCATCTCGGCAGAGTTTTTTTTTTTAAATGCTAATATACCTTTTGTGGAATGAGACACTTATTTTGTAAGCCAGCTCTTGATTCATTCATCTGTTTTGCTTGATACTCAGATTCTAAGAGCTGTCAACCAGAGTGACGTCCAAAAGACCTATAGTTCAGATTTTAAAAAAGACGGACCAGTCTTTCTTAATTAACTTCAGACATTTGAATGAAGTGGTGGTGGTAGGGGGGGGGGAGACACATTTTCCTGCTTCTGTTGTGAAACCCTTCGAAGTCAGAGCTCAGAGGACCTCTTGTAAATCACCCAGAGATTTTGATCAGGCCTCTCTGCTCACTCTTTTTATTCACTGTTTACGAGAGAAGTGGCCACGGGGTAATCATAATAAAGCTTCCGCATTTCCGAGAACCTTTGCTCTGTCCTACGAGGCGTTTTCTTCCCAGCACTCTGATGAGCCTTCCGACTCTAAATTAAAAAGTATGAATAAATATATAACGTGATTGAGATAATGGCAGCGTGGGAGGGGGAAAGCGAAAGGTAGAAATATATAAATAGCTGTTGACGGAGAAGACGACAAGAACGCTGCAGTATTGGAAGATGGCGACATCCTATGGCAACCCGAACAGTCTTTGTGCGTTTCTTTTCTAGATGGCAAACTGTATTCTGCCACCGTTGCGGATTTCTTGGCAAGCGATGCTGTTATTTACCGGAGCATGGGGGACGGTTCGGCCTTGCGAACAATAAAATATGATTCCAAGTGGATAAAAGGTACTTCTGCTGAAAGTTGAACCGCTACCTGCAATTTTCCTCTTTCCCTATAGCCTTTCTCCCCAAAATTTATAGGGTTGAAGTACACATATCCGGATCATAATGATTTTCCCGACAAGTCACTTTTCTGAGTATTGAAATTTTAGTCCATTGTTCACAGACATCCTAAACTGGAAGCTTGCTTTTTGGATTAATAAAATGGGGAGGTATGTTTGCTGCTTCCCCCCTCCCCCAAAAGTCTGGGTTCTCCTTACTTACCCCTTGTAGGCCACTTAGCAATCAACAGCTCTCAGACAGCCTGCCAAGAATAACTATTCTAATTTTCTCTCTGTGTTACCTTTCAAGAAGTGGGCAGAGATGGTTTGATTCAGAAAAGCTGTTGGCGTTTTAGCTGGTTTCTTTGCAGAAACCTAGGTTTTCAACCGCCAGGGTTTGAAATGAATTTCTTTATTTCCGTGTCTGAATTGTGCTCCAAATGGATATATTAGGTTTTAATTTGTATTCCATGACTTTAAAAAAAAACACCTGTGCTTTGGAGTTTTGCTTCTAGATTCTAGAGAATTGTAAATCTCTAATTGTCATGGTTCTGACTAATGAAACACTTCAAAGAACTTCCAGGCATGTTTATCCTAAAGCCTTTATTAACAGTGTTACAAATTGATGGCACATCATGGAGGTTTATGCCAGAATCTGAATTCCTTTTGCTGGCATCTAACTTTTCTTGCTAAACCCCTCCCTTATCTTGAAGTCCCAAGCCACATCTTCCAATTAGCCCAGAGGGCAGAGATAAGCTCTAAGTGCTTATCTCTTTCCAGTTTTGGAGGTTTTCAAATTCAGAAACTCCCCTTCCCAAAGAATCACTGTTTAGAGCAATGTTTTTCAGTCCTGGCAACTTTACAAAGTGTGAACTTCAACTCCCAGAATTCCCCAGCCAGTATGCTGGGAAACAATTACCGGCATGCTGGCTGGGGAATTCTGGGAATTGAAATCCACACATATCTTGAAGTTGCCATGGTTGAAAAAACACTGGTTTGACCACCCTACCATGGAATTGACCTCAAACACTTCTGGAGGGTGCCAAGTTGAGGAAAGTTGCTCCAAATTATGGTCAGTCTTAGCTATGCTTAGTGGAAACAAGCCAGGTTTATAATGATCCGAGTTGGCTGTCTTTGGGCAACTGCCTGGGTTCAGATGTAATTAGCATTTCGGCAATTAGCAATCGTTGCATTATCCAGCCATCTCTGTGGCAGTATAACACAAACAGCTTTTTATTCCCAGAGCTGTGGCCGGGTGATGCTATAAACCACTAGTGCAGAAATGCTCAATGCTCAGCTGTGGTTTTCCAAACGCTCACAACTTCCAAACCTCTCTCAGAAGAGGAGAAGAGTTGCACAGTTCAGTGCAACTTGGTCCCAGAGTGATCAGCTGTTTTTATTTACTCAGTCAAAATGGAGCTGGTGAGTAGGAATAAGAATTTTAGACTCTGTAGAGCTGTCTTCCCTTGCTAAATCTGGGAGAGTTTCTACTCAGAGCAGTTAGTCACAGAAACATTTATAAGGCAGCCTGATTTGTGGTTGTGTACTTTAGAAAGTCTTACTTACAGGTAATCCTTAACACCGTTTGTTTAGTGACCATTCAAAGTTACAATAGCATTGGGAAAAAAGTGTCTTGTAACCGTTTTTCAACAAAAGTGCGTATAGTCCAGGCCATGGTTTTCCCAGTTGCAATGTATAGCTGTGAAAGTTGGACCATAAGAAAGGCTGAGTGCCAAAGAATTGAGGCTTTTGAACTATGGTGCTGGAGAAGACTCCTGCAAGTCCCCTGGACTGCAAGGTGAGCAAACTGGTCAGTCCTAGAGGAGATCAACCCCGACTGCTCTTTAGATGGCCAGATCCTGAAGTTGAAACTCAAATACTTTGGCCACCTAATGAGAAGGAAGGACTCACTGGAGAAGGGCCTAATGCTGGGAAAGATTGAGGGCAATAGAAGAAGGGGACGACAGAGAATGAGGTGGCTGGATGGAGTCACTGAAGCAGGAGGCGTGAACTTAAATGGACTCCAGAAGATGATAGAGGACAGGAAGACCTGGAGGAACATTGTCCATGGGGTCGCGATGGGTTGGACACGACTTCGCAATTAACAACAACAACAAACCGTTTTTCACACTTTATGACTGTTGCGGCATCTCCACAGTCATGTGATCAAAATTCAGATGCTTGGCAACTGACTTGTACTTAAGACGGTTGCAGTGTCCCTGGGTCACGTGATCCCCTTTTGTGACCTTCTGACAAGCAAAGTCAATGGGGAAGCCAGAATCACTTGACAACCATGTCACTAACTTAACAACTGCAGCCATTTGTTTAAAACGGTGGCAGGAAAATGGGGCAAAACTAACTTAACAGCTGTCTTGCATAACAACAGAAATTTGGGGGTCAGTTGTGGTCATAAGTTGAGGACTCCCTGCAATTAATCCACTATGATACATTAGCAAATGTACCCGGGAATAATTTATTTTATTTCCTCATCCACCCACCCATCCTTTTTTTAAAAAATGTTAATTGTAGATTTAAATGTCTCCAAATTGTACATTGCATTGTCACTCGTGAGAACTAGAAGCAAAAAAATAATAATAATAATTTATTTTAAAATGACAACAGCCAGAATTCCTATACGCAGTTATCGGGAAGCTCCTGTATATTCAGTGAGGATAAATCAGGACCATTCTATTAGTCTTGTATAATGCTGAAAACATAGTAAATCAACTGAATGCACATTTTTCTCCATGAGAGCAATATTTTATTTTTATTTTATTTTTTTTAGCATGCCTGATGCTAATCATTTTTCTTGCCAGCCCCAATGTCTTGGTGCACTGACATGAAAGATCCACCAGCTGCAATATTTATGTCCAGGCTTTTCTGCTCCAAACTTTCAACATAGTAAATCCAAAGTAGGAAACCTACTTTTTTTTTTTTTAATTTGGCCCAAGAATAAAGCCATTCTCCTCTTCCAACCAATCGGCTCAGCAAATGAATGGAGCAGTAGTAACAAAGACCGTGGAGCTGTAGTGCAGTTCCTCAGGGGCTTTTTTACAGTCCATTAGCTGGCATTAAGAGTCTTACAGTTTCACTGGAGCTTGACTTCATCCATAGTCGGATGTCCTAAAGTGCCTTGAATAACCACAGCAAAGTTCTTGGCATCCACATCTTTTGAAGCATCAGCACGACTGTGTTTGTGCTATCAGAAAGGCGCTAACAAACAGAAAGAGTCCTGCTGAAACTAATTGAAGGCTTAGTTGGTCTCTTCACACACGAGTTGATGGCCTCTGGGAAGCCACCAGACAAATAGGATACCGAAAGCTCATTTCCAGCAACTGGTACAGAAAGATGTTCTACCTCTGGTTCTGAAGGACAGCCATAACCACCATATCTAGCAGATGTGGAGAATCTTCTCCTCCAGAAGTTATTTTCAATTCACTTTTGAGACCTTCTAAATGGGGCGCTTATCATTGTAAGTTCCCTACTTCTAATGAAGAAATGTCTCTTAGCTAACTGAACATTTCCATGCTTTGCTCAAGGAGATGTGAAGGATCACAAATCCTACTCCTTGAGTTTTCTGTGTGCCAATTAGGCAGCGGCAGACACTTAATCCCCAAATACATGAATTGCATCCTCCAAATTCCTGGTTCAGTCCCTTTCATTTCTCATAAAAAATGGTTTTGGGTACCAAATTTGCAGGGAAAGTCCTGATACTAAACCAAGCAAAACAGCAGCAGTAAACTAGATAAACCAATAATTGGATTCTTGGTTCCTGATTCCATTAGTCTGATGAGCTAAATATAGCCTATTCATCACCTGGTAGCAGATGACCAAGGATCACCTAAGGACTTTTTTCAACTGTATCCAAAAATGATGGAGGCTGAATCTAAGCATGTAACTTTCTCCATCCACTCTGTCATTTCAGGCCGACAAGGTACCCCAGATCAAGAATTAACTCCACAAGAAAACTATACCTATACTTTATTGAGGCTGTAGTAACAAGTATCTTGCAAGTCTGTGTGCACTTTACCTTCTGCTTTAGCTATATTTTCCTGGGTTTGGAGAGGGGTTTTCATTGAAGGAATGAGATTGTATGAAGTTAGCCTCTTTTAAGGCTTAAAAAGCAGTTTTTGTCTCTTTCCCATCTCTTAAAAATAATGAATAATTTAAAGTAGCAAAAAAAAGAAGCAGAAAAGATGAAAAACACAAGTAAACAAAATGAACAGGCACCATAATATTAAGTAAATGAAGTAAAATTCTCATTGTAAAGCTGGTGACAGTCGAGCCAATTATCTTTAAAGTTTTCCCAGAATAAGTAAGTAAGGAGGGAGGGGGGAGGAAGGAAGGAAGGAAGGAAGGAAGGGAAGGAAGGAAGGAAGGAAGGAAGGAAGGAAGGAAGGAAGGAAGGAAGGAAGGAAAAGAAGGAAAGGATGGAAGGAAGGAGGAAGGAGGAAGGAAGGAAGGAAGGAAGGAAGGAAGGAAGAAAAAAGGAAGGAAGGAAGGAAGGAAGGAAGGGAAGGGAAAGGAAAGGGAAGGAAGGAAGGAAAGAAGGAAGGAAGGAAGGAAGGAAGGAAGGAAGGAAGGAAGGAAGGAAGGAAAAGAAGGAAAGGATGGATGGAAGGAAGGAAGGAAGGAAGGAAGGAAGGAAGAAGAAGGAAGAAAAGAAGGAAGGAAGGAAGGAAGGAAGGGAAAGAAGGAAAGGGAAGGAAGGAAGGAAAGAAGGGAAGGAAGGAAGGAAGGAAGGAAGGAAGGAAGGAAGGAAGGAAGGAAGGAAGGAAAAGAAGGAAAGGATGGATGGAAGGAAGGAAGGAAGGAAGGAAGGAAGGAAGGAAGGAAGGAAGAAGAAGGAAGAAAAGAAGGAAGGAAGGAAGGAAGGAAGGAAGGAAGGGAAAGAAGGAAAGGGAAGGAAGGAAGGAAAGAAGGGAAGGAAGGAAGGAAGGAAGGAAGGAAGGAAGGAAGGAAGGAAGGAAGGAAGGAAGGAAGGAAGGAAGGAAGGAAGGAACCCCGCAGAGAGGATACAGAAGAAACATCACCATCCCTTCCTAAGACCAGTCGTAAATTTAATCAGAATAATTCAACGTATGTTTTTTTTTAACTGTCCATGAGCAAAATGTTTTGACTGCTCTCCTTTTCCTTGCGTCTTTCAGAGCCCCATTTCCTTCATGCCATTGAGTACGGGAACTTTGTTTATTTCTTCTTTCGAGAGATTGCTGTGGAACATAACAATTTAGGCAAGGTAAGAGTAAACGCAGCTGCCTGTTACGATAAGTGGCACAGAATCTCGGAGTGGTTTCTTGAGGGCGAAAACAAGAGGCTTACAAAGGCGTGGCCCGTTCTTCATTTGTTTCTACAAGTGTGGTATTTTCATACTTTGGCTTGCTGAAGGAGGTTGTGGAATGTCCCTCTTCCTTCTTGCTTCTTCTCTTTTAGTTGTGCTTGCCTTGTTGTCAAACCAAGACCACACATTCAGTTATGTTTTATGATGGCTGAAAAACTAAGTAGGACCCCCTCAGTCATGGGTGGTAACTTTTCTCCTCTTCACTTTGTCTCCCTCAAAAGTCACATTTGTTGTTTATTTTGCCTTCTCTGTTATTTTTCTTTAACACGCACACACAATATAATACAACAATAGCATTATTCATATTCAAATTAAGACAGAAACCCTTTTTTTGGGTAAAAGTTTTGATGCCATTTGCAGTTAATTGTGAACGCTACACTTAAGTTTAAGAGTCAGTTTGATCTACTGCAGTGGTGAAGGCACCAGGCTAGAAACCAGGAGAATGTGAGTTCTAGTCCTATCTTAGATACCAAGCCAGCTGGGTGAGCTTGGGCCAGTCACTCTCTCAGCCCCAGGAAGGAGGCAATGGCAAACCACTTCCAAAATCTTGCCAAGAAAACTGCAGGGACGTGTCCAGGCATCAGCAATAACTCAAAAGGGGCCAATCAAACCAACCAACAAACAAATAACTTTGGATGTAAAATTTAAACAAACTTGTTCCTAACAGCATTGACATTTCAGTCATAATTAACACTGATAAAAGCTTCTTATTTTTATCCTCAAGGATGTAAGTCAGTGGTGACGAACCTATGGCACAGGTGCCAGAGGTGGCACTCAGAGCCCTCTCTGTGGGCACGCGCGCCTTCGCCCCAGTCCTAGGCCTTCAGCTGGGTTTTATAAAACCTTTTCGCTTTAGGCCTCTGCCACCATATGCAAAAAAAAAAAAGGGTTCAATCAATCAGTCAATTTCAACTTCTCGCGGGAAAAAAAGATCTTGCAAAGTTGGAATTGATTGGTTGAACTTTTTAGTCCCACCCAGTCTGCCGCTACCAGCGCAGCCACACCCACCCAATGGGCCACACCCAGCCAATGGGCCATGCCCACCCGGCACCCGACGATGCATAAATGGGTTTTGGGTTGCAGTTTGAGCACTCAGACTCTAAAACGTTGGCCATCACTGATCTAAGTTATCTGTCAACTAGTATCTGGTCAAAAATAAGAAGCAAAATGCATCAGAAAAGGCTAAAATGGGGCTTTGTTACTCATCTTCTTTGTGAACTACACATTTAGTTCATCCCCATCTAGCATTGGCATGTGGAATTTATTATATTATATTACATAAACAGCATAAATAAGTAGCAAAAGTACCTAAGTAGCATAAATGAATAGTATAAATGCTGCTGTGTTGAAATCATATAATGTACTACCGTACTTATATCTTATAATAATGCTATCAAAAGTTTTGTTTTTTGAAAAAAAAGTCACATTCTCCAAGAGACATCTCCTAAATTCCACATGCCGATACTAGATGGGGATGAACTAAATATGCAGAAGGGAAAATGAGGAGCAAAACCCATTTTAGCATTTTCTGATCCGTTTATTTCTTCTTATTCTTTTTCACTTTCTTGTCCTTTTACTCTTTGCTCCCAAGAAGCAGGCCGCAAGGAAGAGAGCGTAAATAGGTTTTACACTGGTTTGACCCTTTACAACAAAGGCTGTGAAATTAAGCCGAGAAAGAAAACTGTGTGATCAGTGGAGGTTAATCTAAACAAAAAGACCGATGTACATAATCGTAGCATTCAACTTTTGGCCATTTTTTTCTCTTTAAAATGAACTTGTAGTATGGATCACACACTTTCATGCCAATACTGCTTTGTTTCATAATTTGGGGAAGTTAGATCTCCACCAGAGGAGTAATTTGGCCTAGGACATCCTTGTTGCTGACTAAATTTAATCACGGGTTGGGAGACGTCAACAAAGTACGTGACACCAGCCTCTCTGTTCTCTTGAACGTTGTCCATTTTTATGGGGGCCCTGGTCTTCAGGGCTCAGGGAAGCATGAACAAGCCCTCCTCCTTAGTCTCAGAACAACCCTATCTATTTATTTTTATATTGTTATAATCTCATCAGAGCAGACTCTGGGCGGTTAACTTCGTAAGGCATAAAAACCATAATAAAATGTGGCAATCAAGACCAAGTACGAAACCTCATAAAATAACCATAACAATCTTAGCAGACCAAAATCAAAACAGATCCTGTCCATTATTCCCCTAAATCCCTCCCAAATAATTCCATCTTAACTAAGTTTTTCAATTACCAGCAGAATATAATGTGGATAACAATCAAGGGAAGATGCACGGCTGAGCGGAGCTAGAGATGTAAATCTCGTTACTTTGAGGCCATTATTCTTGCTACTTTGCTAAATGGCCTGTTCCTTTATTGCCTCTTCCCTCCCTCTTCCTTCTCTGCATGTTGCTCTGGGCATCTCAGCAGGCTTGTATGTATGTGTGGACACGTCAGAACTTTAAAAGCCCAAAACTTTGTTCAACTAAGGAGGATCATGAGTTGTGGTGGCGCAGTGGTGAGAATGCAGCACTGCAGGCTATCTCTGCTGACCGCCAGCTGCCTGCAGTTTGGCAGTTTGATTCTCATCGGCTCAAGGTTGACTCAGCCTTCCATCCTTCGTAGGTCGGTAAAATGAGGACCCAGATTTTGGGGGGCAATAAGATGACTCTGTAAACTGCTCAGAGAGGGCTGTTAAGCACTGTGAAGCGGTATATAAGTCTAAGTGCTATTGCTATTAAGAGCTGTGGTGGCCCAGTGGTTAGAATGCAGCATTGCAGGCTGACTCCGCCCACAGCTAGGAGTTTGATTCTGACCAGTTCAAGGTTGATTCAGCCCTTCTTCCTTCCAAGGTGGGTAAAATGAGGACCCAGATTGTTGGGGGCAAAATGCTGACTCTGTAAACCACTTGGAGAGGGCTGTAAAGCATTGTGAAGCGGTATATAAGTCTAAATGCTATTGCTATCATTCTGAGTCCAACCTAACATTGAGGACAGGAAGACCTAGATCAAACCAACATTATTTTCTTTAAGAAAAAAAAGATACATTACTGCAACATTGGTTCCCAATGTATTAATAAGTATTCAATTAGGGGGATAATTTGTGTATATCTGTTATTGTTGTGAGGGGGGGTTGATGCACCTTTTTCTTTTTTTAATGTTTTGATTATTTTGTGTTTTTTGTCTTTAGGGGAGTTTTTTATTTTGTATTTTAACTTTGTCTTGAATTAAAAACAAAGAAACAAAAGTTATAACCATTAATATACTTCTTTAACCATTTCTTTTCTTCTCTGTTCAAAAACTGGAGAAGTGCAAAGATACTTTGTCTAGGTCAGAGGTAGACAACCTTGGCTCTTTTATGACTCGTGGACTTCAACTCCCAGGAATTCTAGGAGTTGAAGTCCACGAGTCATAAAAGAGCCAAGGTTGCCTACCTCTGGTCTAGGTGCTACCTGGTTGCTAATGTATGATCAAGCCTTGCTTCCTTTATTTTTATTTATTTAGTTGTGTGTTGATTTATCCATCTCAACCATTGACTCTGGACTTTATTTCTGTGAACTTGGAATAGGACAGAGTTGCATCAATGAAGCTTGAAAACATATGTTTCTTGAGGGCATATGTGTCTCTCTCACAGACATACACACACAAAAAAAACTTAGTTGTGGCCCTCAGAGCCTCTCCAAAAATTGTTGGCAATTTGTAATCTTGAATATGTCAGAAGGGGTAAATACAATGAATTAGAATTAAAACAAATATAATGTTTATCTCAGCCCCATTAACGTTTTGGAATGTAGCTGGAATTCCACTCAAAGCCAAGGACATTGTGGTACCCTCCAGCATAAACACTCCAAAATCAGTTTCATCAACAAAGTGATAGATAGATAGATAGATAGATAGATAGATAGATAGATAGATAGATAGAGATACTGTAGATAGACAGACAGACAGACAGATAGATGGATGGATAGATAGATGAAAGAAGGAAGGAAGGAAGGAAGGAAGGAAGGAAGGAAGGAAGGAAGGAAGGAAGGAAGGAAGGAAGAAAGAAAGAAAGAAAGGAAAGAAGAAAGGAAGGAAGGGAGGAAGGAGAAGAAAGAAAGGAAGGAAGGAAGGAAGGAAGGAAGAAAGAAAGAAAGAAAGAAAGAAAGAAAGAAAGAAAGAAAGAAAGAAAGAAAGAAAGAAAAGATTGGTGAAATACTCCTGATCCAAATCAAATTCCAAAGGTGCTTTTTCCAAAAAGCAACTGGACTTTTCTTGTTTTTTTTTCCTTTGAAAACGTTTTGCTTCTCACCCAAGAAGCTTCTTCAGTTGTCCATAGACAAATTCAAATCAAGCCATTTCAGATCTGATTTGGTTCAAATATCCAACAGGATTTTTGTGGGATGAGGTGGATTTAGTGTGGTTTTCCAAACCCATCTCAAATTAACACATGTTTCTTTTCAGGAGTAGAAGCCTTCAAGTCATCTGATTCGATAATCCAATTAGATTTTTCTGATTCACGTTGGAGAATCGGTTCAATTGAGAGATTCACTCAATCAGTGGTGGGATTCAAATATGTGAACAACGGGTTCTCTGCGTTGATGCCACTTCCGGAAGTCCATTCTGAGCCTGGGCCATAAAAAATTAGCTACCGGTTCTGCTGAACTGGTGCGAACCGGCTAAATCCCACCACTGCACTCAATTCTCTTTGAACCAACTCTCCAAATCAAAGCTTTGCCTACCTCTTATCTATTTGTCCATCGACTTGTCTCTCTTAATGAAGGCTTTTGTGGTTCTTTGTGCTCTTCTCCTTCAGGCTGTTTATTCCCGTGTGGCTCGCATCTGCAAAAATGACATGGGGGGCTCTCAGAGAGTGCTGGAAAAACACTGGACGTCATTCCTCAAAGCACGTCTCAACTGCTCGGTGCCTGGGGATTCATTTTTCTACTTTGATGTGCTTCAGTCTATCACAGACATCATTGAAATCAGTGGCGTCCCTACCGTGGTCGGTGTTTTCACCACACAGCTGAACAGGTGAGAGAGGAACAACCCTACATCAAAAAGGAAATCCCGCCATTCGCTCTTGGCACTAACCGCACAGCCCAGCTTTTCTGACAGTCTCTTTTGTGCTTCTTCTGCAGCATCCCTGGCTCGGCAGTTTGTGCTTTCAACATGGAAGACATTGAGAAAGTCTTCAAAGGGAGATTTAAAGAGCAGAAAACCCCAGATTCTGTTTGGACAGCTGTACCCGAAGACAAAGTGCCAAGGCCAAGGTAAAACATTTGTATATGTGGTCTGCGCCAAGGAGTGATTGGATTCAAAGGAGTTCTGATTACAAAGAATTCTTCTTGGATAGAAGACAGCGATCTCAAAGCAGCCGATCAAGGCATCAGCCCCAGTTTTAGAGACTGTGAAATATGGTGCCTCCAGGGCTTTGCGTTAAGCAGATAACTTTGCTCTGCAGCTTGAAGTTCACCCGGAATCCTATAATGTCACAACTACTCAAAACTGGAAAAGTTTTGTTCAGTAGTAGGAATTCACCACATCTTGTATAGGCAGAACAGTTTGACTAGATCAGCGGTTCTCAACCTGTGGGTCGGGACCCCATTTGGGGTCGAACGACCATTTCACGGGGGTCGCCAAACAACGCAGTCCGCCATTTCCCCCCCCCTTTTCCTTAGCTGTGCTTCTCCCTTTTATTCTATTGGCTTTTGAAAGCCAATAGAATAGACTCTCTTGAATAGAGTAATTCTATTGGCTTTCAAAAGCCAATAGGAATTGTCCAGGCTGTCTCTGCCCTGCTGAGCCCGCCAAAAGTCCCATTCTGCAAACGGTGCTGCACCAGTTGAGTAGTCCTCGACTTACGACCGGTTGGGGGTCGCGGCATTAAAAAGGTTAAGAACCACTGGACTAGAGTGTAGACAGAGAACCAGACACTCAGAATAACAGACTTGGAAGGGACCTTGGAGGTCTTCTAGTCCAATCCCCTGCTCAAGCAGGGGAGCCTATATTATTCCAGACAGGTAGCTGTCCAGTCTCTTCTCAAAATAGATAAGATAACTTTTATTGTCATTCGTTACTGTGGGCACACTGGCACACATTAAAAATGAAATTCTGTCGCCAGCTCTCCAAAGTGTACACATACATAACACACATAGAAATGTGTTGTATACATACATATGTATATACTTACACCCTTACATATAAATATATACAAATATTAATCACTGTCCATCTTTAAGACATAGCAGAAAGAGGAAATTTGAGAGCTCACAAGGTTGATACTGTATGGAATGAAAATGGTGACCGGATCTGGATATTCTGCTTCGGATAGTAGGGGAACATTCAGATTCACTCACAGTTTTGTTCCATACAGTGTCAATTTTGTGGGGGGGGGGGGGAAAGCCTCCAGTGATGAAGTTTTTAACTCCTGCAACTTCTGGAAACAAGCCGTTTCACCGGTTAATTGTTCTGACTGTTAGGAAATTTGTCCCTCTAAAGGAGTGTGCTTTTTCGATTGCTGGAAATATAAAAACAGAAGAGAGAGGGAATGCAAAAATCAGGCAAGGGTCTTGAGAGTCTTATTTTGTTCTCCTCCTTCTGGTCAATGAAGCCCTGCAAACCTTGGGATAAGATCTCAGAGGTCTTTCCACAAGATGAACATCAAAGGTGAGACCTCTGTTGTAGGATCGATATTGGGGATTTGACCTGCTTCCTTTTCCAGGAATTTGTACCCAACCGGGTACTATTCTGAAGGCTACCTTAGTGAGAGTGTGCAAAGCCACTAGTTCTAAAGTTGAAAAAAGGCAACACTTTAGATCACTCTGGTTTCATTCAGCAGGTTTTGCCCTAAATCCTAACAGATCACTATTCCAACAAATTAACTGTATTATGATTTCACATGATGGTCTGATTCGCACAATTGGCTGAGGCAAGGGCTGACTTCCCAATATACTAGCAATTAAAATTACTAACTACTCAGCCATGTTTATGCTTAAGTGTCTTGTGCAAATCCAGCAGCAATGGATGGAAAGAATTTGAGTTCTGACAAAGAATTGGTCTGACGACTTGCTTCAAACCCTTTATAAAATGATTCTAGAGTAACAGTTTTCCTTTGCACCCTGATATTTTTTTTGTTCCCCTTCAGTCTTTTTTGCTATTTTTACTTTTTAAAAAAAAATCAGGAAAAATTGTTGCTTTCCTTTCAGACCTGGTTGCTGTGCAAAGCATGGCCCAGCAGAGGCTTACAAAACCTCCATTGATTTCCCAGATGAAACGCTTTCTTTCATCAAGTCCCATCCTTTGATGGATTCCGCTGTTCCATCTGTCATTGAGGAGCCATGGTTCACAAAGACACGAGTCAGGTAAGAGGCAGGGACACCAGGCCAAGGAGCAACAATTGTAAAGTAGAATCTGACCCTAACCACAGTGACAGAACCACTTCTGTGCAGACTTGAAAGGAGGCATAAAGTTGAATTCTGCAGATTATCTTGCTAAAGATAGGATTGTGATAGCCCGCCGTGGAAGAAAAGGGGAGCTGGGTATACCCTAAGAACTTTCAAGCCGTTTCAGAAATCTTGTTAAGATGTCTGGATCTTGCGCCATCCATCTATAGCAGGGGTGTCAAACTGCCGGCCCACAGGCCGGATGCGTCACGCAGAAGCCGCGCCCACCCCATTGCCGGCAATGGCAAAACTGTCCCGATACGTTGTGCGACCTCGCGTGACGTCTCGAGTTTGACATATCTGATCTATAGTCACAGATACTTGCAACTTGTTCCCATCTTAGTAAGACCTTGTGAAGAAGCCCATGTTAGCTCCCCACCACAGTGAGATTGGTGCTCTCTATGCTTGGTTGCTTTCTCGCAGACGTTTCATTGCCCAACTACGTAATATTATCAGTGCTAGGTAATGATGCTAGGTAACTGATGCTAGGTAATTGAGTCATGAAACATCTGCAAAAAAAATAAGTCAGTGAAGGTTCTCAATAATTCAGATAGAGTTGTTTGAAGGTTGAGTCATTGCAATTGGACTAATTTCTGTTGTTAGCTTGAGATGTTTCACTGGCCATTTAGGGACTTCATCAGTCAGAGCATGTCAGTTAAGTAGAGAGACATTGGAAAGTTCCAACTCTTGCTACACTGACCTCGGGGGTTTCCTCCCCAAAGTGTGTTGCAATATATCGATGAATAATAATCCAGGTAGAGTTGCTTGAAGGTTGAGTCATTCATTGCAACTGGACTAATTTTTCTTCAAACATCTGCAAGAAAACAACCAAGCTCAGAGAGTACCAAAGACTCCACTGTTCAACCCTGTGCTACAAATATTCTCTTTGATGGATACAATGAGATTTTCTTCTCAAATCTGGAGGGATTGAAGTGGCATACACGTTGTCATTAAAAGGAGCTGATATAACATTAGCACGCGTCGAAAATTAAGGCACGGTCTTCAGCAAACAAAAGGAACTTGTTAGTTCTGGTAGCTATCTTAAAAGACATTAGCTCTGCTGTTCTAAGTTTTACTTCCTGGGGTGGTTTTGAAGTTCATGTGTTATTATTTTAAAGTTTTGCTTTTTAAAGTTAATGTATTGATGTGTACACTAGTTTGGTATAGTGCAGGGGTAGGCAACCTTGGCTCTTTTATGACTCGTGGACTTCAACTCCCAGAATTCCTGAGCCAGCATGGCTCAGCTTGGAAACCTCTCCCTTTCCCCTCAGCACGGCTGGCTCAGGAATTCTGGGAGTTGAGGTTCACGAGTCATAAAAGAGCCAAGGTTGCCTACCCCTGGTATAGTGGTTAAGGGGCTGGCCTGGAAACCAGGTAACTGTAAGTTCTAGTTCTGGCTGGGTGATTTTTGGGCCAATTGGTCTCGCTTAACCGAACTCGCCTCACAGGATTGTTGTTATGAGGAGAATATTAGGAAGAAGAATTATTAGTTATGTTCTTGGATTTCTTACGAAGCAATAAAGCAGGATAAAAATCAAATAAATAAAAATCAGGTGTACACTTTCAAGTGTATCATAAGTTGGTGTAAAATCTTCTAAGCCAATTTGCAGCTCGGATTTAGTGTATCTTAATTATATGGTCCACGTGACCTACCTGAGCTTTAAAATTGGCACTGTCAGCTTTCCAACCCCTCATTAAACAGGGATTGTTGGGCATTAATCAGATTGCTGGATTCTAGGTTGTGTAATTTTCTCTAGGGAGAAGGATCAACAACCTCCTCCCTTTCCAGTTTAGTATCTCCCGATCTCCAGGTCTAGTTGGTTTCAGGGCTACTATCATGATTTTTTTTATTGTTATCTGTTATTGTTCTTGTTGCTATAATGTGTCTTTATTATTCATTGGAAAATGAATGAAAATTATAAATAAGTTTAAAAGCACGTACACTCAAACACAATTGCTCACCTTCCTGTTTCTCACCAGGATTGTGCAAGAGGGGAAGGCTGATTAATGCAGGTGACATGAAGAATGGAATTTTATAGTTTATTGAGCATGTTGTTTTTTTCTTTCTTTCCCGCATACAAAATATGCTGTACTCATGATGAGTATTTGATTAATGCTGTGGCTGCTGCTATCAAAACACAGCCTATTCACACCCCATTGGCAAAGGTTGTGATATTTCTCTTTTAAAGCTGTAGAAAGCAAGCTTTTGGAAGGTGACCTTCCTTAAAGAAAATTGCATCTGCCCCAGATAGAATCTGCTCCCCATCGTCCTTACAGAGATCTCCCTGAAAATCCCATCACCCCTGCCAAGTGACACTGGATATGAAGGTGGAGGGGAGCAATTGTGATGAGAGATGTCTTGATCTCGACAGGTATCGGTTGACTGCAATTGCCGTGGATCGTTCAGCTGGCCCGTATCAAAACTATACAGTCATTTTTGTGGGCTCTGAAGCCGGAATGGTGCTGAAGATCTTGGCGAAGACCAAAGCTTTTTCCCTGAACGACAGTATCTTACTGGAGGAGATTGATGCTTACAATCATGCAAAGTAGGTCTTAATTTGTCTATGGAGATGCTCAGTCATCGAGCTCACCGTTGTCCCAAATATGCTTTTTCAGGAGGCAACTGGACGTTCTTGTTTTTCCTTTGAAGACAGTTTGCTTCTCATCCAAGTGGCTACTTTTTCAAGACAGCAAAGTCCATATTTTGGACAGAGAGGATCGCTGGTTTGAAAGAGGGGGTCAAAGAGGCCATCTATGTCCAAACTGAACAGCCCTCTCTCAACACAGGGAGAGGACTCTCTCCAGTCTACAACACACTCCTTTCATCAGTTCCAAGAAGGCTCCACACCCATTTGCACCACTCAGGTGACTCTGAAGATACAGGTAAACCTCCAAGTGGCCTCAACGACTCTCTAAAAGAATGCAGATGACCAGTAGTCTACAAGGAGTATATAAATCCTTCCATTCCCCACCATCCAGTCAGAGCTGAAGGAGCTTCTTGGATGAGAAGTGAAATGTCTTTAAAGAAAAACAAGGAAGTCCAGTGGCCTCCTGAAAAAGCATCTTGAGGTCTTATTTTATGAGAACAGCGGCAAAATATTTGATAATGTCCATCTTGTCCGAGTCCCTTTTGCCGTTAGCCACTTGATTGAAAAGTGCTTCTCCTTCCTTCCTCCCCACTTCAGTGACATTTCACTCCATCTGTCCTCTCATCCTGTCTAGTGAAGCCCAGTCTTTAAAGAAATGTGTGTTTGCATAATTTAAAAACATAGTTTGTGTTGAGGTGAGCACGTTTCGTTTTCATGTACATATGCAGGGACATGCCCCAGTATATTGCCGGTACTCCAGAACCGTGCTGGTATTATCAACATCCTCTACCTGTCCTCTGATTAAGAATAATCAGAGAAAAAGCTAATGAAGAAAATCCAATGAAGTCATTAATAATGATCAAGATGATAATTGCGAATGAAATTCTGAACATTTCACCAGGTCTTCTCTTTTCATCACTTAACAGTTGGCCTTACCTAGAAGTCTAGCTGAGGAAAATTGCTTTCTTGAAGAACGTGTTTTGGTGGTTGAAGTCTGGTGGGGGGGGGGAGGAGCTCCTGGTTTGTCTTAGTTTGGTTTCTGCTTGTTTGTCTCTTCAGCATAAAAGTCTCCTCTTCTATCACCCAGGCAACTTGAAGAGAAGAGTTGTAGGAATTGCTCCATCACTTGAATTCTGGAACTCTGCTTCGTTTCTCTGACTATATCAGACTTCCCCAACATATCATTGTCCTTTGGGCTGGAGGGTACAACATTGGAGAGGGCTTCCATATGTCTTCTTTCAACTAACTGTGGTCCTCAAAATCCATGTGGGAGAAGTGCTAAAATTTTAACAAGTTGAAAGACAAAGTAAACAATGTCTATGTAGGCTTGAGATGATAAGCATCAACAACCGGATATCCAAACAGTAAAGATCTCAAAATTCCTGTATCCCACAGATGTAATGGGGATGGTGAAGAAGACAAAAAAGTCATCTCTCTGCAACTGGACAAAGAGCACCATGTGTTGTTCATTGCATTCTCCAGCTGCATCATTAGAATTCCTCTCAGCCGTTGTGAGCGTCATGGATCATGTAAAAAGTAAGCCCTCTCTACAACCTCATACTATTGGCTGTGTCAGTGTTCCAAGACAATGGAGGACTAATATCTTAACTTGGTTTTGCTTTAGGACTTGCATTGCTTCTCGGGACCCTTACTGTGGCTGGTTGGCCCACGGATCCTGCGGGAGAGTGAGAGCAAGCATGGTGTAAGTAGAGTAATTATATTTTTGAGTTTTGCATCACCACACAAAATATTATTAGAATGACATTAAACTCCCTTTTACAACCCTGTAATCCTTTAATTTGGGGTAGAGTCAGAGCAGTTGGATGGAGCTGAGAGTTTACTGGCCAGATGCCCTTCCTGATGCCATGCAGAGTTCACAGCAGATATTTTTTTCTTCGTGTCCTAGGAGAGAAACATTTGCCACTACCTAGGGTTGACCTCTTAACCTTCTGAGTGGGAGGCAAGTGTTTCCACCACTAGACCACCATGCTGCTCCCCGTTATCAGAACAACATTCTGCCCCATAAAATATTTTAAAACAATGTTCTACAACAGGGGTCTTCAAACTTCTCCCTTTTATGACTTGTGGACATCAACTCCCAGAATTCCTCAGCCAGCATGCCTTTAAGCCCTAAAAAAGCTTCTAGATCTAGTGAGACCTATCATTAATTACATTGGATCATCTTTAATTAAGACCCAAACGGTGGGACAGAAACCATCCTTGGAACAGATTTTTCTCCATGGGAACTGTGGCAGGCTCCATTCATGCCTGATTTTATTCCTTTCTTTCCTAATTTAAGGCTATTCTTGTTGCTGTTTGTACTTTTTTAAGACTCCAGGACACTGTTCATTTTTATGTAATGTTTATGTTTTATTTTGTTGTTCGTGTTTCCATGAAAACAAAGATGACAACACTGGACTAAGTTAGCTCAAGCTTGTATGTGAGCTGAAGACCAGTTTTTGGGGGACAGTTCCAAAGTTTAGGTGGCCCAACATCCAGTTACACACAGTCAGGAGAGAGCTTTGTACATTTAAATCTAAGGAACGTGAATAACAAACTTAATTCACATTTGCTTCAGAACAGCCTGTCATTTAAGACTGTCATTGCCCAAAAACAGTGCCCCCACTCCTGCTCTTTCCCTGACCTTATCTCCATAATTTTCTATCCCATAATTGTGGCCCAGTAAATGATGATGGATGGGAAGGGGGCTTCTTTTCTCCAGACTAGAAGTTCTCCATGTCTTCTGTAGTAGACAGAAAGATGTTTTTGTGATGCTGCTTTGTCAAGAAATAGTCCATAAGTCAGAGACTCTGTTCAATAGTTTAATTGTTGGTCATTTGGGTCATGGTTTAATGAGAAAACCCTTAGGGCAAGGGCGACAAAATAGGAAGAGCAACTGTGAGCTAACACAAAAGGCTTGCTAGAGTTGGCCTGCATTCATTAGCTGTGAACTGTACGTCAGTGTGCATATTAGGAAGCATAGGAAGCAACCACTCATCTTTGCATGGATCATGGTCAAGAAGATCACTCAACACAGTATGGATCATGATCAAGAAGGCCAGCTACGAAACAATTAAATCAATTATCTGCTATTAGAAATGAAGCCTCCCCTTCATTTTAAGTCTAACACAGGTAGGCAACCTTGGCTCTTTTATGACTCGTGGACTTCAACTCCCAGAATTCCTGAGCCAGCCATGCTGAGGGGAAAGGGAGAGGTTTCCAAGCTGAGCCATGCTGGCTCAGGAATTCTGGGAGTTGAAGTCCACGAGTCATAAAAGAGCCAAGGTTGCCTACTCCTGGTTTAACACATCTCTTCTTGAGTCCAGTGTCCACCTTCATTCATAAACAGAAAATAAATAAATAAATAAATACAGATACATACATACAGATAGTCCTTGACGTACGACCACAATTGAGCCCAAAATTTCTGTTGCTAAGTGAAACAGTTCTTAATTGAATTTTGCACCATTTTACGTTCTTTCTCGCCACCATTTTTAAGTGAATCACTGCAGTAGTAGCACGATTGTTCAGTAAATTTGGCTTCTCCATTGACTTTGCTCGGCAGAAGATCAACCAAGGGGATCACATGACCCCCGGGACACGGCAACCATCCTACATATGAGTGATTTGCCATGGGGGAGGGGTCTGAATTTTGATCATATGACCAAGGGGATGCTGCAACAGTCATAAGTGTGAAAAACAATCATAATTCCCCTTTTTTCGGTGCCGTTGCAACTTTGAACGGTCCACTTTGTAAGTTGAGGGTTATCTATATGCATGCATACATACAATATTGCAGTTCTTGCATTTCTTTCAGTGATAATGTTGATGATGTCACGGTCATCCTCGGTTTTCCCAACTAATGCTGTTAATTGCAGGTTATCTTTGTTTGTTTCATACAACCACAGCCTTGGAGAGTATGAGCAAGACGTGGAGTACGGCAACACTGCCCACCTGGGGGATTGCCACGGTAAGCTCACCCATCCCAGATGTCCACTGGAGAATGCAGCATGGTTTGGTTTGTGAACCACACATGGTGTGGAAGATCATATTAATGGCACTGATCCCTTGCCTTCCTTTTAAAATGAAAGCTGTTTGATCTTGGGTGGTGGATTTCTTTGACCATATTTTTTCCCCCAACCATCACGCTGGTTCGTGAAGGTCCACAGCCACTTTATGATTATATTGAAGCTTTTAAATTTTTTTTTTTCTCCTGTTTTTCCCTCCCTTTTGGGTAAGCCAATTGTATTTTATTTTCTGATTTTCCGTTGCTCAGGCTTTGAAAATCTTTTGCTTTTCCTTTTGGTTACTTTTCACTGATTACGTGTTCCTTTAATTCTTTTAGAAATTTTGCCTACTACAACTACACCAGATTACAAAATATTTGGCGATCCAACATCTGGTTAGTTTTTTCCAATCATTTTTTTCCTCCCTCCAATTAACGAAGCTTTTCTTTCCTTCAGTTTGAATATTTTCAGCTTTTCTTTCTTTCTTTCTTTCTTTCTTTCTTTCTTTCTTTCTTTCTTTCTTTCTTTCTTTCTTTCTTTCTTTCTTTCTTTCTTCTTTCTCTGACTCTCTTGTTTTTCATTACCTACCGTCCTTTTGGGTGCAGTTGGCAATCTTTCACTTTTTTAATTTATATTTTTGCTCTTCTGCTTTTACTCATATTCCTACTGATGGACAAGATAAAACCAAGTCAGTTTTGGCTCACTCCGTACTTTTCACCTCATATAGCTGCATGTTTAACAGCTCATTATTAATTGAGGTCCTTCTTTTATTCACCCACAAATCTGATCGACATGGATGAGATTTTCCTCGCCTACTCTTTTCACCCTCCACCTAGTCATACATTTTTGAATGCTAACCACCTCCTTGTCATAATTCAATATATGGATGCCTGCCTGATTCTCCCTTTCTTTATTTTTCCTATGTCTCCCAGTTCCTTTATCGCAAATACGCATTTTGCAAAATGTGTATTTCTGTATTTGAAATGTGTTGATTTCTCCAGTAATAGGAATGTGTTTGTGCTGATAATTATACTTAGCATTATAACTTCAGAAGTTGTACTGGTTTTTTTTTTCCTTCAGAACAAAAATTGTAGAGAAAATAGAGAAGAGGGTGGGTAAATTGTGAACTTTTAAGCCACTGGGAATGCATTCACACCAGCTCAGAAATCAATGATTCTTTTTCTGGATTAGTCCTGAATTGCTATTGGAATGATTGACAAGCTCAGCTAATTTATTTAATCAACCATATACAAAGCATCCACTCTAAACATCCCATTTTAAGCATATCTTTGAACTTTTAACACTTTTTAAGATGAGCAGCTAGGCAGGTTTTAACAAAACGTGTTTTGTTTCGACACTGTAATATCTGATTTGTGTTCAGTGGCCAAAATAATCCCATGGCTTGTTAGCCCTACAAGATAGAGCAAACTCGGGCACAAAATCATGAATATTAAAACTACTTTTATGATAATGGTCTTGCAACTTGCTTCCCTCTGGCCTGCCTTTATCCTAAAGAAAACGGTTGGAGGGTCAGCCTGCGTTGCTTCTCAAACTCCATTTCTGCTCTGGGCTCAGATATCTCTTATCTGTTGCCTCAGCTGCAGCTTTTCCTCCAAGTTTTTCTCACTTCCCACTACATGATCATAGATTAGAGGATTATCCTTGGTATGTTGAGATTTCATTCTAACATGTCTAAATTAATTACATTTGTGAATATCCCTGCGACCAATCTTCTACCCATATAAAGTCCCCTCAGCTGTTGCAGGAGAGGGTTGGATCAACAATGCACAGAGCACAGAAGCATCCCTTCCCAGCTTGCATTTGGATGAGCATCCAAATCCAGCTTTTACCCTGGATGTTTCATATGGAAACACAACAAATGAATGCCCTAAGGAAATGGAATTTATTGCCTCCCTTGGACATGATGCCATAAATTTCAGGGGGTCACTGTTTTTTTTTAGACTGCAAGCCTTGGACTATTTTGAGGCAACTCCCACACAAGCTCACACTAAGCCTGGATAAATTCAGACTCTTGACATCTGCTTGGACAACAGTCATGATAGGAAAAGGCTTACCTAGAGGTGCCAGCCGAAGTTGACAGGAGTGAGCCAAAGGGATAAATAAATTAGATTTTGCCTCTTGACGTAATCTGTCCATCTCATTTCAAGCAGTCTAATAAGGCCAATCGGTTATATTGCACTGAACTTTCATTTTAATCTGATTTGGACATTAATTCACAAGAGCAGCATCGAGCTTTATTGTCTGTCCTTTTTCTCATACAGATTCCCAATAAACATCTCCCTCTAAACATTACTTAGCAGCCATTGAATAAAGCCAGCAGTGGATGAGGGTGTTAAAAAGGAAAGAAGAAAAAAAATTGTAATGCACATTAATAAAAAATCTGTTTGCCACCACAGACATGGCGTTATCCTCAGCTTCCATTACCACAGTGGGAAGTATCCCTGTTATCTCGCCCAAAGTGATTGGTTCCTGGAAACCTAAAGTGACTGGCTCTCGGGAATTTGTAGCTCAAGATGACCCAAACACTTCTGATTACTCTGAACCTTTATCAGGGGTTCCAAAGGGTAAGGCCAAATCAGGGAATCTGTTGCAGTCGAAAGAAAACCTGATACCTTCAGCCATTTTCAAAGATTCAATCCATTGGACCTTGCTCAATGGATACGCAGAGTGTGTGTGGATCAAAGGCAGAGCAACATAGCAGCTAAAAACAGAACCAAAAAGGTGAAATGTGGATCTGAGCGAACAAACCAAGAGATGAGTTTCATAACTCATGTCAACCAACCCCTGTTCTTTCTTCTCTCCATCAATCAATATTCCAAGGTTTATTGTTGTTTAGTAGCGCCATGCGTGCCTCTATAACAGATCAGTAGAAGCATTACAGATTTTTATGTTAGGTTTTAAGATACTTAAAAACAACTGCAGCCTTTTCAGACTTCTGCATGAGCTTGAAGTAGGATGCTGTTTGAAGGAGCAGAGGGATGCTATACATCTTCTAAATCAGGGGGTCTCCAAACTTGGCAACTTTAAGACTTGTGGACTTCAGTGCCCAGAATTCCCCATGGCTGGTTGAGGAATTCTGGGAGTTAAAAGTCCACAAGTCTTAAACTTGTCAAGTTTGGAGATCCCTGTTCTAAATAAGCTGAGGAAGAGACAAAGACCTACAATTCACCCAACAATGTTGGATGAAATATCATACATTCTGATCTAAACCCAACCAGAGAATAGAGAGTAGCTATTTTGGAATCACAGTTAAGCAGTACAAGTCAGATAGAACAGGCTTTGCCTCAAATGTCCTTTCGGTCACTAGCTTCTCGGGATTACTTTTGACCTCTGTGTCTTGGTCTCAGAACAATCACATTCTGAGATTTGAGGATACGCAACTGGGTTGCCATGAAAGCAAAAGAGGACCACGGTCTCAATCTGCTCAGTTCCTCTCAGATTTCAGCAGAGGTCCAAAGTCACTAAGTCAGTTTCTTCTGTAGGCACATATCTCAACCCAGGCCTCAGTTATCCACTCACCTGAACTGCCTTATGTTTGCATACCTCTCGGTAGATACTGCATATTTGCGCACACTTGTCTCTGTTTTCTCCTTGTTGAAATTATCAGAACCTGGTTTGCATTTTAATAGCCCCTGGGATGTATCAGGTTTCCTTTCAAGTCTTCTGACATTCCTTTGCTTCAGGTGTTTTATAGCTTGAGTGTCCTCTGAAATCTTTATCCGGATTTACTCACAGGCTCTCTCTCTATCATATATGGTGGCACTTTTTTTGCCTGGCCTCTGTGTCTTTATTTCACCTCTTCTTCTGCACAAAGCCATTAAAATCAATAACCCTGAACACATTTAACTCTGGTCAAAAGCCTTGCCTCTAACAAATAATAACAACAACACTACTACTAGTACTAATGTTCCTCTTCATTTTAAGTTTTCCGCCTGGCATAGAATAACCGAAGTAGATGCAATTCTTTCAAACTAACGTTTTTCTCGGCAGGGTGATGTCTGTGGCTCCCTTAAAATAAACAAATAATAAAACTGCTCTCAGGAAAAAAAAAAGTGTAAGTTCCAATAATTGTGTGTTAATTGCAATTATAATTATTCTTCAAGACTAAATGAGATGCATTCTATATTTTAGGAAAAACTAATCTAACTATTAATCATTTCTAAAACAGCATGAGATTCCAAACGTGCATTCCTTATTCAAGCAAAAACCATAAAAATATAAAACCTTTCTTTCTTTTTTCTTTTTTTTTAATCTGCAGACAACCTAAGAAAATGTTACAAAACATTGAGTTGGAAGAGAACCATAGCTCTGTTGATGCAATGAACAAATTATGCAGTTTTATATATATATATATATTTATATATATATATTTGCATAATCCTATCTCGTATTTGATTTCTGATTTATGAGTCAGACAGGGAACTGAGAGAGAAAGCCTTCCATGAGTTATTAATTGCAGTCTGGCAAAGTAACACCTTCTAACCTCAATTTCCAGCAGAAATTGTTAAAGTTAATAACATACAAGCTACTATTTGTGAGTCTTAAAAGGAGACTTGGGGACAGAAGGAGAATAGATTGGCAGAATATCATATTTGGAAAGTTCTCCAAGCTGATTGAACCAGAGCTAGAAGCCACATCTTGTATTCAAAAACAGTGAAGTCTCTAAATGGTTGCCCAAGTCTCTACTTCTGAGAAGTCCTGTAGGTAGTTGTGGAAGGAGATCTTCACATCAGCCTTCAATTTTGCTCTGTGCTCCTGCCAGCTAAGAACTGGAGCCATCAGTCATACAGTGCTTTGATTCTCTACTTTGGCAGAAGTTCTCCCCAGTGAAGTTAGAGGACTTTGTTGCACTTGTGTCAGAAGCACCAAGGTACTTATGGGTGGAAAGGATTAGCCAGTGACATCCCCATTGCTCTGGGGATGTCCAGTTGGAGGCTTCCTGGAAGGAGCTGGATTGAAGGACGAGAGCTCAACTCTGCTCCATGACAGCTCAGACACGGGCTTGCTAATCTCCTGCCCAGGGTTCAAACCATGCGAGCCATTGTGCTCCTTTAGTTAGAGCAGGAGTCCCCAACCCCTGGTCTGTGGACCGGTATTGGGCTGCAGCATGCCAGCAACTGGGCCACACAAACAAGCAAAGCCCCATCTGCAGGATGCAGGCAGCACACAAAACCCTCTGGTCCACAGAAAACCTTCTCATCGTGTAACCGGTCCCTGGTGCCCAAAAGGTTGGGGACCTCTGAGTTAGAGGACTAAGAGTAGAGAAAAGCAGCCACCAGGATGGAAAACAGCTGCTGATGTTTTGATGCTCCTCTGACACTATTGTAAGGATAGTAGGTGGTATTAGCTCGCTCCTGTTGGGCGAGTTAGTTCACATCCCGTTAGCTTCAGATAAGTGTCTATAATGAATATGAAATCTGGACTGTGAAGCAGTCATAGAGCAGGAATACTTCTTAGTACAAATATTCTTAGTGAAGAGTAACTCAGAGTATTGGTTTTCCTACTTTGGACATGTATTGTGTCATGTCCACAGTCAGTTTTTGCATACTGGCTAAGAAGAAGACGCTCAGAAAGAACGTCGCACGGCCACATTGCAGCTCGGAACAAGCTGTTAATCTGTGCTATCATTATATATCATGCCCTTTTGCTGATCTCACAGCCGACTTATGATTAGTGCAGGACTCCTGAAGACGTGGAGGCACCAAACGTGGCCAAATGTGCAAAAGTCATGACCTCATTGAAAGATCAGGCACATCATTCCCAAAATTTAGAAGGTTGACCAAGAAGAGGTAGGAATAACAGGGCTGTTCTTATAAACCATAAGTGCAATTCCACTTTGCTATTCATTTGTTGTTGTTAGTTGCAAGTCGTGTCTGACCCATTGCGACTCCATGGATGTACAGTATTGCTATGTGTATGTTCAACTTCAGCCCAAGAAAAATCCACCACACACAAGAATAATAAATCTAGGAATAAGCAATGATACTTCTAAAGAATTAGCCTTAAATATGTTCACTTGGCACTTACAAGGGCTGCTTCATATCTTGGACACATTCAGGAATATCAAGTCCCCTCAAAATCCATTCATTTCAGACCATTCCACCATAAACCTGAAGACATGGAAGCTGTGCTAGATCCTGTCCACTTTATGTTTAATCTGAACCAGGGAGGGCTGAGAAAGAGAAGAGAGGTTTTAAGTAGTAAGGATTCACATAGGTGTTTCATAATGCATATAGACCATTAGAATTCAATTTGGGTGCTCTTTGTGGATCACCTCCTTGTTAAGAGTGATACCATTTCTTGATGCTGCTCAAAAGGGTGTACGTTCAAGACACCAAGTTTTGGTTAGGTGCACTTAGGATGCAGCCTGAAATAGCAAGCTTTTGTCTCATGATTTTATCATCCAAAGTACTCTCTAACCTGCCCATCATGTGTGTGCTTGTCATAGGTGTGAGATGGGAAGTCCAATCAGGTGATTCCAATCAAATGGTGCACATGAATGTCCTGATTACCTGTGTCTTTGCGGCTTTCCTTCTGGGAGCATTTATTGCCGGCGTGGCTGTTTACTGTTACCGAGACGTTTTTGTGAGAAAATCCAGGAAGATTCACAAAGATGCTGAGTCAGCTCAGTCCTGCACGGATTCCAGCGGGAGTTTTGCCAAACTGAATGGCCTCTTTGACAGCCCTGTTAAGGAGTATCAGCAGAACATTGATTCGCCCAAACTTTATTCCAACTTGCTGACGAGTCGCAAAGAGCTGCCCCAGACGGCTGACACAAAGTCCATGTTGATGGTGGACCACAGAGCCCAACCACCAGAACTGGCAGCTCTTCCAACCCCGGAATCGACTCCTGTGCTTCAGCAGAAGACCTTACAAGGAATGAAGAGCCAGATGGAGAAGGCCCAGAACAACCTCAGCTCTTCAAGAAAAGAAGGCCCCTTGAAGAGTCCTCAGTTTTTCCCCTCCAGTCCTCCACCCCATTCTCCTTTAAGTCACGGACACATCCCCAGTGCCATTGTCCTTCCCAATGCCACCCACGATTACAACATGTCCTTCTCCAATTCTAACGCGCACAAAGCGGACAAAAAGATGGCACATGTGGACCACCCGCTCACCAAGTCCTCAGGCAAAAGAGACCCTAGGCGGTCTGTGGATTCCAGAAACACCTTGAATGACTTCCTGAAACATTTAAACGAAACCCCCAGCAACTCCAAAGCCATTATGGCTGACCTTCAGGTGGCTCACCAGACTTTAATGTTGGATTCCATGGGCAACGTGACAGAGGTCCCCCCCAAAGTCCCCAACCGGGAAGCATCTTTATACTCTCCTCCTTCCACCCTGCCACGAAATAGCCCGACAAAACGGGTGGATGTCCCCAACGCACCGGGAGCACCAATGACCTCTTTAGAAAGACAGAGGGGCTACCACAAGAATTCTTCCCAGAGGCATTCTATATCAGCTCTTCCTAAAAACTTAAACTCCCCGAACGGGATGCTGTTATCTAGGCAGCCTAGCGTTAACCGGGGAGGATATATGACTCCGACCGGAGGCACAAAGATGGACTATATCCAAGGGACTCCGGTCAGCGTCCATCTACAGCCTTCCTTGTCTAGGCAAAGCAGTTACACAAGCAACGGAACGCTTCCTCGGACAGGGATAAAGAGGATGCCCTCTCTTAAGCCAGATGTGCCACCCAAACCTTCTTTTGCCCCACAGACGCCTTCAGTCAGGCCACTGAACAAATACAGTTACTAAAACTTGCCTAATCAATCCATCCAGACCTTGGGGCGATGGTGCAGGACAGATGGAAAGACTCCGACTCGCTTGTCATGGAGGGCATGGGGGGAGGGAACCGAATTTGGGGGCAAACAGGCTCTTTTTGCTCCATCTGCTGGTTTTGTCGGGCCCAAAGCAAGACTCCACTTGCCCAATGCGTTAAAAGAGAGAGGAAGGGCTGGCCACTGCATCTCTTGTGTTGGGAGAGGAGGAGAGACGTAGCACAAAAGGACGGGACTCCGTGGCCACTTCAAAAGAGTACTGTTTAGAGTACTTAGGGAGGAAGCAGATCCGCAAACAAACAAACAAAAAAAAATACTTGAAATTAATAATAATTAAAGTGAGAATAAAAAAGGGGGGGTTGTTTTTAGACTGCCATACTGTGTAGTCTTCCCACAAAATGTGAACGTTTTAACTCTGTATGCATTTGCCTTGCCTCTTGCACAAATATCCGAAAAAGAAAACGTCTCGATACGTCTGTTGGTTAAGAAGCAGCGGGCTGAACCTCAGCCTCTAGTCCAACTGTAGCATTTTTATTTTTTGCCTCCAAAGGATGAACAGTTTGTTTTACGGCACAGGTAAAAACGAGAGGGATGAGAGAGGGGGGGTGCATGCAAGTGTGCGAGGAAGCCTTGAATCCTAGGAGGTGCTCAATTCCATTGTGTTGTCTGGATAGAAATGTTTACATTTGTGAAAGAACAAGGCACCTACCAGTCACATCGACTCTGGTACTCTCGCCTTGCAAAGATGCACTGCAGGTCTCATGCAGCAGGCTTTGCGATAAAGGTAATCCTCGACTTAACGATCACAATTGAGACCAACGTTTCTGTTGCTAAGCGAGACTCATTTGTTAAATGAGTTTTGCCCCATTTTACCACCTTTCTGTTACGTGAATCACTGCCGTTGTGAAGTTAGTAACACAGTTGTCAAGTGAATCTGGCTTCCCCATTGACTTGACTTGCCAGAAGGTCACAAAAGGGGATCATGTGATCCCAGGGCACTGCAACCGTCATAAATACATGCCAGTTGCCAAGTGTCCAAATTTTGAACAGGTGACCACAGGGATGCTGCAACGGTCATAAGTCACCTTTTTTTTCCAGTGCCATTGTAACTTGAAATGGTCACCAAACAAACTATTGTAAGTTGAGGACTACCTATATTGATTGTGGCATATGACACAATTAGGTACAATGTGAAACCAGCCAAATATAGGTACCCAAAGCCAGGCTGCTATAAAGCTAGATATCTAATTTCCAAATGTTGTTTTAATGGGTTTTCGTTGACCCAACCACTATTTAATTTACTGTCCTTCAAAACATCAAGGGCTGAAACCATCCCGTATAGGGGTTCTTAATTTCCCCAAATTTCAAACCCATCTTCACAAAGGAAAAAAAAAGAGGACATTTGCCTGCAGATGTCCAGATTTCTGTTTTGCGAACGCAAAGAGTTGCTTCCTGCAGTGTCCTTCCACCATCTGTCTTAAACTCTTGGGAAGTAAAGGAGAAACACGATTGTTGTCTTTTATGTGTCCAACAACATGTCCTGGAAAAGCCTAACACGAGATACGAAGGTGTGTATGCCATTGGGCTTCTCTTGACAACTGCTTACGTCATTGTAAGGAGATTCTTCTCACTTTTAAAGAGTTCTGTTGAACGTATTGAGTATGTTCCTTTCAACATTAAGCCGACATTCCCTAATCTGGTGAGGGGAGCTGGGACTTGCAAGTCCCAATAGTCCAACTTGGATTGACTTAGAATTCTGGGAGTTGAGTACAACACATCTAGAGGACACTAGGTTGAGGAAGAGTCACTTGAAGCTGCAAAAAGCAATTGGTAGCTCTCCAGATATTGCCAAACTACAAGTCCCAACATCTGTAGGAAGCATGGCCAAATAGTCAGTAGTGGGATTCATATAGGTGAACAACTGGTTCTCTGTGTGGATGCCGCTTTCGGAAGTCCATTCTGGGCCTGGGCAACAAAAAACTACCGGTTCTGCCAAACTGGTGCGAACTGGCTAAATCCCACCACTGCAAATAGTGAATGGTGAGGGATACTAGAAGTTGTACTTAGTAACATCTAGTTGTCTACTTCTGTATGAAGCTTTGAGGTTTTTTCCCAAGTTTTGAAACTCTACCCTTTCAAGACTTGTGGTAGGAACCAGATGGTTCAAGCAATGCTCTCACTGTTGTAACAGATGTTGGCTTTGGATGTTATGTGAACACACCCAATGTACACTAGGTTCCCAAGTGAGGAAGGATAAATGTGACATTATCCCCATAACACAACCATCCTCCAATGTCTTAGCAAGATCCATCCATCAAAATTCAACAGAAGCACAGCCCATCTTTTTAGCTTGTGGTTTCTTTGAAGCCATGCCAACAACAACACTATTGTAAATATTCTGTGTGTGACTTTACTCAGATCTGTGCATTTTGTGCCTTATTCACAAGAATGGTTTTTTTTTCCTAAATTGCTCACTACTAAATCCTGTCAAGTGTTCTCTGTAATAGTACATTGTAAACCCGAGTGCTTTTAAGTTCTCTCTGCAGTGTCCAAAAACATGAAAGGAAAAAGCAGGGGAAGAAGGGATTAATATTTCTGTGGAACCGTTATTATCCATGAAAAAGTAATCTACAAGCCAAGGAAATATCAACCTTGCTGTGCTAAACATTCAGTCCTGATTTGCTTAAAAATCAAACTGCAACAATGGGAAATCATACGAGATTTTTACAACCCACCCAAAGTTGCACATGCTACAGTGTGTGCTTACAGCTGATTGTCAGATAAGGGTCTTGGTTTGTGTAGGACAGGGGTGTCAAACTGCCAGCCCACAGGCAGGACACGTCACGTGGAAGCCACAGCCACCCCGTTGCCAGTCCGATACATTGCGCAACGTCATGTGACGTCGCCAGTTTGACATGCCTGGTGTAGGATGTTCCACCATTTGGTTGCTGAAGTCTCTGTAACCAACCCTTAGTTTACAAGTCAAATACAAAACACCTGTTTGTGTTATAAGTAAAGAGAGTTTTAAAAGGGATCATTCTTTCATATAGAGAATTAAACTCCTTTTCCAATCTGTACGTCAAGCATTACATCTCTCCCAAAATACCACAAGTAATTTTTCTAAAAAATATCTTCAGTCTCGCAACTAATATCTTTTTAATTTTTTTTTAAAAAAGGAAATCAAGCAGCAAAAATGTAATTGACGTCACTTTACAATGATTAATGAGTAATACATACTTGTGTAAAACTGAAACATAAATGTTATGTGAACCCAAATAACTTTTCTGTAACATTGTGCTGCCTCGCTAGTGGGTAACGTGAGTCAACTTAGTATTTCTGTTGAAAACCTCTAACATTCGACATAGTCTTTATTCTGTTAATTTATAATTTGTGTTGGGTTTTTTTTTCTTAAAAAATAAACACATGCTTTATCCATTTGTGCAAAGGTAAATGCAGATTGTATCTTTTTTAAATGGTACAGCTTAAAAAAAAAAGTAATCCGGAAAAAAAAGGAAAGAAAAACTGCTCTATACAAGCTATAGAGTACGTTAACATGTATAGATATCTTGTAAACTTGTACTGTGGATGTGTAAATAAGACGTCCTTTGGGTTTTTAACACCGCATGTAAAGATAAAATAAACTCTTCAAAAGGAGCAAGCATCTCACATCTCACTTGATTGACAGATGGAAATAGTGGACACCGTCCATCAAGAGCCCCTCTTGGTGGAACATGGGCAGCAATGGAATCTGGACATCCATATGCCATCATTCCCACAAACCTGCAGTGGAAGTGCTCTCCAGGGATTAACCCATCTGCTGCTGTGAGTAGTCATGGGGAGTAGAGAACTTCAGGCTTAGAAAATCCATCCTACGGCGACCTTGGTGCTCTCTGGGCTTGGTAGTCGTCTTGCAGACGTTTCGGTACCAATCCAGGTAACATCATCAGTGCTAGTTGAACCATAACCCTAGCACTAATGATGTTACCTAGATCAGGGGTCCCCAACCCCTGGTCCGTAGCCCAGTTCTGGGCCAGTGTCATGGTTCTGATAGATGAGACCAGTTAAAAGAACTTCAAGGCAAGAAATTCTTCCTCAAAGAACATTTTTATTTGGCTACAAAATATTGGCACTTGCAAAAGTGAACCGAAGACTAAATTCCTCTCCCCCGGTTGAAAAGTTGCAATTCCCACCCCAATTAGATATCATAAATCACATTCACCAATTTTTACTAAATGCGGGCACTCCTCCCAAATCTCCAGCCCGCCAAAATGTAATCAGCAATGACCTTGGTTCCCATACCTAAGAATTGTTATGGCTAACTTAAAACTATGCTGCCCCCTTCCTCCCCTTCTAAATATGTGGCAACCAAAAACGAAGTGAAAATGGCTTCAGTTCACTTTGTTGCAGTGTTGACACACAGCTTGTTTGGAACCAGGCTCCGAAATAGCAGGCGAGCACGCAGCTCCATTTGAATGAGTGGTGGGCACATGTGGGTGCCCGCCATGTGTGCAAATGGAGCTGCGCACGCAAGCACCGGGGCCTGCCACTCACTTGGAACCATTTCCTCTCTGTCCCCTGTGGGTCCACAAAGCTGGAAAGCTTGGGGACCACTGGCTTAGATTAGTAGTGAAATATCTCCAAGAAAACCACCAAGCTCAGAGAGCACCAAGGACTCTACAGTTCAACCCTGTCTTCTGTCGGTAAACCCATCCTAGCCAGCAGGTCATACAATACCAATGTATGACCAATAATAATACAATTCTAGTGTGTTGATCTTTGTAGACTTCCTATTTCTAGAGCATCAGCATGGGCAACTGCATTTACCTCTGTGTCTTTTCACTGTTCATACCTGATGCATAAATAGCACCAAACATGCAGAAACTTCACACTGGAGACTTCACACTGGTCTAGAAGACTACTTGCAACGTCCTTATCCAGAGATCGGGGCCCCACATTTTTCAGGCTATTCACTGTTCTAATGCCTGACAGCCCCATCTCCACAGGAGAACTGAGCCACATGCACCTTACACCTAACCACTGTTTATAGTTGTTAAAGGAGACCACTTACAAATCTAAGGGGCTGCTAAATTTATCTGGATTCATACAGGATTTAATTGCAACCATTCAGTAGCAAGCCTTCATCTGGTAGCTAGATCCAGTTCTTCTGAACAACCAATACCCCCTTCAGATTGCAAGGATACCATTTTTCCACCACTCCCCATCCCGAAAGGTAAAAATGCAGGTAGGCAATCAAAACCTAATGCGAACAAGCAATATCCCAGTTCTTTTTGTTTTTTTTTAATTATGGATGTATTTTTTTTTTTTTTGTACACCCTTAAGCAAAACACATTATTATGGACGTGCCAGGGTCCTGGCTTGTACAAGTCCATGGAATAAATGCCTTAAGGCTTTCTCTGTGC